TTCTCCATCTAGATCACACCTTTCCAGAGACTGTCCTGATTAATTTTCCTCTAATTACTCTGTCTGAGGGTCCCATCTGCTTCCTGCGGGGTCCCAGCTGATCCCAGAAGGGAGCTCGTTTAATAAAATGTGCAGCCTCTGTGATCACTGCCTCCTCTCCATATCAAATCCTTCTTGCCAATCTGGGGAGCAGCTCTAGAACCCCCCATGGGCAATGCTTTGGTATTCTTGAAATTTCCCCTCTCTGCCCTACAGCGACTTGAAGGCAAGGGACTCTTAGTTATTATTTTCCCCATTCATTGCCTTCCCTTTCACTTCCTTTCCATTCCCACTCCCTGGAAAGCCCACTCACTGTCTCTCTTACTAAATTCTAACCAGAATCATTTGGAAGGAAGGGGCTGTTTTGTCAAGGTCTCTCTTTGTTTCATTTGCAGGCGGCGCCCTTCCTCCTGCTCTTCCCTTTAATCCTTTCTGCTCTCCCTGGCCTGGGCCTTTGTCCTGCACTCCAGCCTCGTGGAGCTCTGGGCTCCTTAAGATGCTAATCACACCCGGTTTTCTTCTTGCGCCAAGAATATTTCTATTTATCAAGCTGGAGCAGGCTTTGCCTTTGGGAGGGACACATACAAGGGCAGGAACACTTCCCGTTCCTCCGGGCTGTTTCTTTTCTACCTTTCCCATTTCAATTTCAGGGCTCCCCCCACCCTTTTTTATGTTCTGCTTTATGGCTCGTGCTGTTTTCTGAATGCACTGGTTACCTTAGCTCTGGCTCCTTTCAGCCCTGAATGCAGGCTCATGCCAGCCAGCCCTGATGTGCTGCAGAATTACTGACCCTTAAATGAGAGGGGAGATTCAGGTTTATTTAAACTCATCAGTATCACTGACGCGCCTCCATCTGGGTTTCCCAGAAGTAGACCTTAAGACAAGGATCCCGGCTCGGCGCCTGTGGCTCAAGTGGCTAAGGCGCCAGCCACGTACACCTAAGGTGGCAGGTTCGAATCCCCAGCCC